ATGAAACGTCCTCGTAGCGATGCTGCCGTGTTTCCTTTGGCGAAGCCCCTGGCTGGGCGCTTCGTGTTGTACGGAAACATCTGTGTAGATTGCACGATGCAAGTTCCCAGTTTTCCGCACCTTGGATCCAGGGCTGGTGGTAGGTGTCATGGGCAATCTTGGATGGTATGGGTTGATTGCTACCATTCCCAGCGGCGAATCTTGAGTTTGCTGGGGTTGTCATGCAAGGGTTTCAGGACATGGTTGTGGTTGGACAGCAGCGCACGTTGTGAAACCGTCCTTGTTTCAAGATTGGGTAAATAATGATGCAGTCATGTGTGTATATTAAAATTGTTCGTGGTTCGGCCACATCCAGCACACCATGCATTTTATCCAATTATTCCATGTTTTTGGGGCGCATCTCAAAATCTTTGCAAAAGCGTATTTTATTTTTCTTGGCCGTCTACTCAATACGAAAGACTTTGGGTTAACTTGTTTGCCAACCGTTGCGGGCCAAGGACAATTAGTAAGCATGGCACGGACATGTATATATACATACATGATGCGTTTGTGATCATGTGACCATGCAGACATGGGTTTCATATATTTACATATCGTCATGCGTGGGCGCACTTTGCTCCAGATGTATATAGCATTCACGTTCTATCTCTAGGCCTTTAGGCATACAGTTTTTAAAAGAACATATTTATATGTGTTGTGTATTCACCCTCTTGCACATACAGTTTTCAACTTCAGTGTCCGAACGCCAACAATACGAAACACACCCAGGAAAGAAGATTCCAGCCTACGCGCCCAAAGTTTTGCCAAGAAGACGGGTGGCAACGGTGCCAACAGCTGCATCGTTTTGGCGCAGTTGGTGAGATCCAAAGGCACCAGACATTGCGTGACTTTGTTGAGCATCATCCCAGATCGGAAACATTCCGATGCGCCTAAGCTGCGTTTAAATGGGTTAGTATATTTTTCCGTGGTCCTAGATATGTATTGGTGGCAGGTGGCGCTCTTGCGAAGCATACCCCCGAAGCATACCCCGAAGCAAACCCCCCAAAATGAAGATCATTTTTGAGGGTTGTTATTTGGAGATCTTGGGCTCAAATATATCAAGATGGGTCGCGACACTTGCTTCATTTGGGATGAATCCCGTCTGAAATCCAATGGCTGGCAGAGCACCTGGGTGATCAGCATGGGCATCAAGAAGAACCGGGTGGCTTCCAGGTAGAAAAAGGAAGACATCGATCAACTCCTCAAGCTGTGCCAAGAACACGAAGGTGAGACCCTTGAGCAGCTGAAGGCCCTATGCGTTTCTCGAAGAGAGAACCGACCTCAGGACTGGTTTTTGATTTGGTCAGCAGCTGGTGGGTGGACTTTTTTTGTTTCCAAAGACTCATAGATCAATGTGCTACCACTTGGCTACACACCTGGGGGTCACTTGGGGCTATTAATGGGTAAGGACATGGCAATAACCCCATAAGATGGGATACCTGTAAAAACTATCGTTTCTTCAGCCCTTGCAATTGCAACTGCACTCTCAACAAGGGTTTGTCCAAACATAATCATTAAGAATTAGATTTTCAAGGGGTGCTCTGGCAAACCCAGTTGGTGCAGGAGTCAGCACCAATGGACTTGGATGGCCTTTTTGAGCAAGCCAGCGGAGAAACTGCAGAGCGCCAGGTTGTTGAGGCACCAGCCGCCGCTCGGATCAACAATTTGTGGCTTGCTGCTGCTGCATGCTAGCCAGGGGAATGGGGGAGTGGGTTGGCTCCTGGGATGGAATTGTGAACTCAGAGCCTGTCATGCTATTTGCAAAGCACGTGCTTCTTGGCCCAGGAGTCACGGCCGAGTAAGATACTTCACATCTCTGCATAACCCTGAAAATAAGACATCCTTGCCCATACCGCCATGGCACCAAAGCAATCGGCAAAGGGCCAAGAGAACCATTGCCGCAACCGCATCAATGCCGTGGTCAGGGATGTTAGAGAGAAGCTTGGGTCGGATGGCCTTGTTCGTTGCCTTTCGAGAACGCTGTCAGAAGATGAGTTCTCCAAGCTCAAAGAAATTAAAGATGATGATGCCCGCATCCATGCCTTTGCTGTAGAAGTGGCAACACGTAGCGAGAGCAGCAGTGCAGCGCAGGAGATCATCGCTGGCGCTGCCCAATCCACGCTTGGAAGCAGGAGCAAAGCAAAGGCTTTACAGCTACCAGTTCCAGGCATGCGGCTCTGGTCTCGTGTGCGCAGAGGTAAAGCAAAGCAAAAGGCAGGGAGAAAAACCAAGGTACATTCTCCAAACATCCGTGACAAAGTTCAAGTCTTCTTGTTGGAGAATGCTACAGCAACTGCGAGGCTTTACAAATTTGGCAACAAAACTGTGCCTGTCTACAACTTAAAGACATCCCGTGGGAGATTGTGGGCCAGGAGTTCAGAAATGCAGCAGCTGCTGTCTCGTGCAACATGGTACTTGCATTTGAAGAGATATCATCCTAATTTTGTTCGGCTCAAATGCCGGACCGATGTGTGCACCTTTTGCCACGAGTATGACAAGGTGCTTCTGCCTGCTCTGCGACGGGACCTGGACAAAGGTCGCGGTGTCAAATTACTGCTGTGCATGCCACCTATTTTGATTCCATGGATCAGCATTGGGCCAATATGGCGGCAGCTGAGAGCACCGACCCTCATGGCCAGTTGTCTTTGCAATACGTCAAATTTATGAGGCTTTTCGTTGATAAGACTGCTGCAGACAGGCTTCGGGTGCCATCGCAGCCAGGAACTCTGGCGTGGAGACAGCAGCTGAAAGAGGCTGAAGCTGCTACCTCCGACACGCTCAAGAAGTATATCGGCATTCTGGAGTCTTGCGTTCATCATTTCTCGACCGTCCGCAGGCAACACCAAACAAGGGAACAGCAAGAAAATGACCTCCCGAAGACAAGTTTGCTCATCCAACTGGATTTCATGGAGAATATGACTTGGCCACTTGGGCCGGAAGAAGCTCAAGATTGGTTCTGGGCCACAGCTCGGGAGAGCATGACCACGTTGGGCTTCTATTGCTGTGTGTGGAGAGGCGAAAGGCTTTGCAAGGAGAATTACCACTACATCTCCCAAATCCTGAACCATGATTCTGCATACGCTTGTCAATGCCTGCCGCTCTCCTGCAATAATTTGGAACCCCTTTTTCCCCTGCCATTTTTGTTCTATTGATGATTTATCTTGTTGGATTTTGTCATGCCGCCGGCAAGGAATGACTTGATTGCCTCTCTCCTGGTGGGCGACGTGGATCATATGCATTGCTGGGCGGATTGCGGACCGCATTTCCGCAGCTATGAATTGTTGTGGAACCTTGTGGAGCAGTGCAGGGATCGGTTTCCTCATGTTACTTTGCATTTCTTTGCTGAGCATCATGGTAAGGGGAGGTGTGATGGAGCCTTCGGGCTCCAGAGGCGGTGGGTGGCAGACTACGCTCGCACAACAACAATTGATTCCTTGCAAGGCATGAAATCCGCCTTGGAAACTGGAGCAGCAATGACAATGTCTTTAGACCCGCCGCCTCGAGGCCCTGCTTACAAGGTCAAAATTTTCGAGCCCAAGAAGAAAGACAGCGTGAAGAAGTTTGATGTTTCTGGCACTGACCTTCAGATTGAATATACGTATTGTTTGTCATTGCAACGTGCCACCCAGGGGCATGTCAGAGTTCGGAACTTCTGCTTCTCCGACCGCTTGCACGACAGAAATACTGGAAGTATGCTTGGGAAGGCATCTTGCACCACACAACAGTGCACAGAAGAATAATGGAGGCGCTCCTATAGGCAACAGGTGCCAGAGAAAACGCCTCTCAACACAGCCTTGCTCCAACGAAGGCTTGACAGGCAAAAAAGCTTTCAAATTTACCAATGGTTTCCCGAAGAGATTCTGTGCTCACAGCCTTGCGCCGCAAAGAAAAGCGTGCAGCAGCGGCAAGAGTGAAATACCAAGGGCAAAAGCGAGTGCTGGCTGTCAATCTGCAAGAGGCAGACAGTAGCTCCGGAGAGGACACTAGTTCGCAATCCTCTGGATAAAAGTGGGAGAGTGCGGGCAACCGCGATCGTTTCTTACCATCGCCAATGGCAGGGTCCTTTTTTGGGAAATGACTCTTAGAGATCTGACACCTAAAGTGTATATTTGCTGGCCGCAAGTGTTCCGCCAACAAGGTCCTTGTCTATCGAAACAACCGTGCCTGCTACTGCCAGCTATGTCTTGAACCAACTACCTGCTGTCAGGAACAGTCATGCCTCCTGCAGCCAGCTTTGTCTTGAACCAAGTACCTGCTGTCAGGAACAATCGTGCCTCCTGCAGCCAGCTATGTCTTGAACCAATTACATGCTGTCAGAAACAATCGTGCTTCCTGCAGCCAGCTACGTCTTGAACCAACCACCTGCTGTCAGGAACAATCGTGCCTCCTGCAGCCAGCTTTGTCTTGAACCAAGTACCTGCTGTCAAGAACAATCGTGCCTTCTGCAGCCAGCTATGGCTTGAACCAACCACCTGCTGTCAGGAACAAACGTGCTTCCTACAGCCAGCTATGCCTTGAACCAACTATACTTGCTGTCAGAACTAGCCTCGGGCTTCACCTGTAGTCAGACTCTGGCCTTTGGCGGTTGAATTAGACCAGAAAACCATACGTGTCTCTCTCTCTCTCTATATATATATATGCGTGCAAGGATACACACAGAGATATACAAAAGGTTGGAAAGTTTGTTGGAAGCCTCTTAGATATGAAGTAAGTTCCATGTGATGAAGTACATGCGAAGCATACCCCGAAGCATACCCCCGAAGCAAACCCCGAAGCATACCTCCGAAGCATACCCCCTAGACAAACCTTCCAGTGGGGATACGGTATTTCCAGACAAACCCAAATTGTTTGTGGGATTTGAAATCATAGGTTTGAGCTATACGTGATGTGCATTTATCATTCACACTTGTCTGCGAGCAAGTGGAACCGAATGGCTAGAGCCAGCCTCAAGGTTGCGTAGTCAACCAGGAAGAAATGAAAACCATGCTCAAGCATTTGAAATAAAGATTTGCATCCGCTTGGGCCGCCCAAACGTAATAAAACGTGTGGAACAATCCAAAGATGTCTAGCTGGAACTACCCGCGTTTGCCGATTTTTGAAATTTTGACCATTGGCTTAAGTCGGACAGGCGTTCTATTTTCGTAGTGAGTTTGTATCAATTTTTTACTTTTTGGAAATACATGGAGAACACATCACAGCTTAGGTAGCGGCGCCGTTCAAAAGCATGAAACCATTCAGATTAATCAGGATCATTTGGAGGTTTTAAACTCTTTCAATTTCTTTTGTTTTCCGACATCTGTGTGTGTCGTCGCAATATTTTGCATATTTTGTTGTTTTTTGTTTTCCCTTTTTCCTCTTCAGTTTGGTTGTCTTTTTGACAAACGAGGTGGTTTCCCAATTTCAAAACCATCATACCAACAATCCTTTATAAAACATTCATTACTGTAGTACAAGCATATACTATGTACAGATCCTGAAACAAACCCGCCACGTCAATGTCGGGGCTGAAAGCGGCCATCAAGGCCATGTTCGCCATCACCACCCTGGAGCGTCATGGCGTGGACACCTCGCGGCTCCAGGATGCCAGCCGTGACGTCACGGACGTTGGGCTGCCAACGAGCTTCGTGCTGCTCAGCGAGGACACGGGGGCGAGGACCATCGTGTCCTCCAGGTGTGGCTTAAAGGAATCTCTGCTGCAACATTGTACTTGGTGGCTCATCCCACTTAGTAAGTGGGTTAAAACCCCAGTTATAAATGGGATAAGTAGGGTTAATCCACTTATAACTGGGGTTATAACCCACTTACTAAGTGGGATGAGCCACCAAGTAGCGATGCTTGTTGCGGTGGTGAGCTTGGGTTGGATGGGAGGGCAAGAATACTGATAACATCTGACAACACTGTCGACAGGCTGTGGCTGAACGGAAATCATGGGAACTTGATCAACGAATTATGGCATGATATTGCTGTTGAAATTTGTCGCGCCTACAGTTTCAACATTAGATCAAAGTGGCGTGCAATGGACGTTTGTACATCGCAAACTAACGGAAATTCTTCTGGGTCTGTAGCACCGCAATAATCACCTCAATAAGCGATCAAGGATGACGATCAATTTGGATATGACATGCTCACGGGTGACCGTTGGTCATTGAATGTTTGAAACTTGATACATCTTGATACAGCATTTTTTGGATTGTAGCTGTCCGCAATGCTGCCCACCAACAAAGTGCTCGGCAGAAGAGAAGAATTCCAACGTGGTTATGCATACTCCTATGGTGCCGGTTTTTTTAATTCTGATGTCCCTCGCATGTTCTAGAATCACCGTGAACCACCAGTCCCCCCCTACGGACAGCAGTGAGCATGCAAGGAGATGGATGCAACTCATTTCCAAGAAGCATTGGCACATTCCAAGGATCTTTGTTGCTGGCCCGCAGATCTTGCTCAATTCCGTCATTGGTTTGGGGATGTGCCCATTCACGGGCGAATTCCAAGCAGTCCAATCAAGTCTGAAATGATTTTTCTAATTATGTGATCCGCATGTGAGAAGATATTATTGACAAAAATGATGACATAGATATTTGACATTTGACCATGTGTCGAAAATAGTTACCCTCTGGTCATTTAACATAGCCATGGAAACTGGCCCATTTATAGATGGTTTACCTATGTTTACCTATTAAAAATGGTGGTTTTCCATGGCTTTGTTAAATAACCAGATGGTATCAGAAGTTTGGTGCCACTTGTTGATAATTCATATGGACCTAGATGGATCTAGTGGTTTCTCCTCTTCGCTGGCGGCACGTGCCTAAATCCACCAAGTCTGCCAGGCAGCGCTAGCAAACCCGCTAGGTTTGCTCCAGTTTTTTTCATATATTCATTTTCAAAGATTAATTCTGTATGGTTCTGCGGCTCTATTTTTCCACGTGTTTTTTTCATATGGAACGTTTCTGAATAAATTCTTTTGCTTGAAACCAAGTCCGACCTAGTCAACATATCAACATATGCGTTGTTCCTATAGCATTGGAGAAAAGAACATCATGCAACCAACATGATGTATGCAGTCATTTCAGGACCTTGTCTAGTTGGTTGTAAATTTGGGGATTGGATGTCCGGGAGGGATCTGCAACCTGAGACTAGCAGCGGCATCCACTCCCAATAGACGTGCACTAGAATTTCCTGCAGGCTTTAGATGCGGCTTCAAACATAAAAAAGATGATGTATAAAGTGTAGGTTTTCTTTTTACACAACTCATAGCTTTGAACACCAGAGCAAGAAGCGGCACATATGGAATTACGTTTTATTAACCAAAACAGAAGAATACATTTTGACAAACCCTCATGTGAATATGTTTTATATGTATGTATAATTTCAGTTGTTTCATTTGCTTATTTTTTTGAATTGTTTGTTTATAGCTTGACATGAGCCTGACATGGCACATACCCTGACATGTAGGCTGACACATACGCTGACATTTGGCCTGAACAAATCTTCACATGTAGCTTGACATCGAGTATGAGTATGGCGTGCACTTTGACATTTACACACCTTTTGTCTTGAAATATACGGTGACTTTGACATGTAGCTTGAGATGTAGTCATGTGTATAATACATATATATATATATATATGTGTGTGTGTGTGTGTTAGGCATACATTCTGCCACTTGAGGTGGCAAATTTCATGTGATACAAATTTTAACATTTGCCCTGGCAAGTATGAAGGACCTTTTTTTATCCTTTTTTGACATGTATTCTTACCATTTTTGTTTTTGCCCCGGCACATCTAATATGACATCAAATGACATGCAATGAGGTCTGCACACAGAGCCCTGGAACTTGGTATAGGGTTGAAGTTGAAGTCTCGTCCAGCACAGAATCATACAGAATCCAAAGAGTCAGGAAGCTGTGTGTGGAGTGCAGGTACGTAGCTAAATCAGCATCCCCTTGTTGTCATGAAGGCATTTGTTGCTGGGAGAGATCCTATCACAAGGGATTGCGGAAAATTCATCCGGTGCAGCAATGCATCAAAGACAACAATGTATTCCGCAAGGAGTGGGCCACAATCTCACACAACGCCATCTGCAGTGACATCTAACATAATAATTTCACATGATTTCACTTACAAAGTCTATGAAAGAATCATCACAATCCCTTGGAAATTACTTATGGTTTCTTTCCTGAAGTCCATTCAGGTTGAAGCTTTTCTGATGCTTTGCCAATGTTAAATCGATTGCCTTGGCCCAGGCTGGTGCCATTTGGAATTTCGCCAGCCCGGTATCCCGCAGATGCTGCGTGCATTGGCGGCGCTTCCGGCCACGCTTGGGATCACAGCACCGGTGGCGTCGATGGAAGTGGAGAAACCCAGCGTGGAGGTGCAGCAAGTGCTGCCGCTGTTGCAACTTTGGCGATGGACAAAAATTGCGTTGTAGGACCGGGGTTGGTAACTGTCCCATTTTGGGTATATTGGACATCACCTTATAGTAGCCATTATAGACCATATACCTAATGGTTGGGTGATGTTCAATGGGGACATTTAATGACCCATGTAAAATGCTAAACTCAATGGTAAATCACAAGTTGGTATGGTTCAATGAGAACCATGGTGACATCCAAATTCCTTTAAACAGAGATTATGTCATAGTTCTAATGTCTTTGAACTTACCGCAGTGAAACATAGTTTTAAAAGTGGCTGGGTGGATATTTATGACTGGTCATCGGTCCGAAGTTCTCTGAAAATTGCAGGGGGAAACATGGATGTATGTCTGTGCATGAGAGGGCTAGACCTTAATCATTCCAGATTGGGACATCAGCACATCAACATGCAGGTGTAAGGTGACGTCATACCTGGGTTTCGCCACCCCATGTGGATGGATCTGTAATTGAACACTTGGGCAAATTGCATGGTTGGGCCTTTTGTACCAATTGATTCAGCACACAGAAATGCGTAGACACGCGTCATTGTGATAGCCATAACACTGCACATTAGTTGCGGTAATTTTCATACTGCTAGAAAGCTGTATGGCCCCAGAAGTTCACACACATAACCCCCTGGCTCCAATCATGGCATTGCTTGTCTTTTTGTTGGCAACTTGGCCTTCCTTGTGATTAATCACAAGCGCCATGCGCGCCTTAGACGCCAAAGCCAAGACAAACTGGGGATATGAACTCCAGCTCTTGAACGTGGCTAACTGGTTCCATGTAATTATGGACTTGCTCGCAAAAAAAAAGGTACTGGAACGGTTGTAAATATTCAAAACAGGATTTCATCTTGGGAAGAGTCGTGGGAACTTTACCCGTTGATTTTGCAGTGACCAGGCGCTTCCACAGAACCATCGACGCATATACATAGATATATAATGATATATGGGTACGAATCAAAATGCAAGGTATGGATCAAGGCCCCGGACCCACACACGATCCATACCCCCCGATCCATACCTTGATCCCTACCCCTGATCCACACCCCTGATCCGTACCCATTTCTCGTTGAAGAAAGACTGATGCTGGCCCTAATGCTGCTTTTTATCCTAATACTGCTTCTGGTCCTCGTACTGCTACTCCCGTTGCTACTACCGTTGTTTCTACTGCTGCCTCCGCTGCCTCCGCTGCCTCCGCTGCCTCCGCCGCCTCCGCTGCCTCCGCCGCCTCCGCTGCCTCCGCTGCCTCCGTGCTGCTGCTGCTGTGCTGTTGCTGCTGCTGCTGCTGCCACTACTAGTCATCCTCCTCCCAGGAGCTGCTGCTCCTGCTGGTCCTGCTCCCGCTGCTGGTGCTGATTGAATTCCTCCGTGTGCTTCTGGTAGTTGGACAAATGCAACTAGTTGACTAGCTACTAGCAATACTGCAAGTGCACTTCTTGTACTTCTATAGTGGTGCTATGATTACAATTCCTTCTGTTTCTGCTTTGCCTGGCACGTGTAGAACTAGACCAGACTAGAAATACCCCGCTCTCTTCCTTCACAGCAATAGCGGGAAAGCCGGCCCAGATAGCATGTCCCGATCCATACCCCGATCCATACCCGTTCCATACCCGATCCATACCCGAGCCCAGTCACGCCACAACAAATGCCAATATGATAGTCCGATTCTATTACTACTTCTACTTCTACTGCTTCTACTGCTTCTACTGCTTCTACTGCTGCTGCTTCTGCTTCTACTTCTACTTCTACTTCAACTACTACTACTACTACTACTCCTCCTACTCCTATTCCTACTCCTACTCCCACTCCTACTACTACTACTACTACTACTACCACTACCACTACCACTACTACCACTACTACCACTACTACCACTACTACCACTACTACCACTACTACCACTACTACCACTACTACCACCACTACCACTACTACCACCACTACTACTACTACGACTCCTCCTCCTACCCCTACTCCTGGTACAACTGCAGCTGCTGCTGCTGCTGCTACTTCCATTAGATTACTATTATTACTTTGACTTTTACTAGTACTACTGGTACTGCTATTGTTATTCCTACTGCTACTGCATCTCCTCCTTGTATTGCCACTACTGCTGCTGGTGCTGTTTTTTTTTTACTGCTCCCTCTACTAGCAGTGGTAGCAGTTTTAGCAGCAACAGTAGCAGGAGGAGAAGTAATAGCAAGTAGGAGATAGTAGGAGTATCAGCACAGTTTGTATGCTATGATGAGCCCTTAGGAAAGGGTACGGATCAGGCACCTTACGTAACCACTCCCGATCCATAGTACGGATCACCGCGGGGCGATCCATACCCGATTTTTGACTCGAACCCATATAATGATATATGTATGTGTATATATATATATAATGTCATATGTGCATTCACTGAATCCAGCCCTTTTGGCTCAGGCACCTTTGCGACGTTGTCTTCTTTTCCAGCGACTTCATCCGCGCCCGCGCTGCAGATCTCCAGGTGGCACTTGGTAATTGCGGAGACGACTGGCAGAACCATGGGGCCCTGCGGTGCCTGCGGGCCATGGCGACACAGGCGAGTGCCACGCGTGCGGCTGAGCTGAACGGGTTGACAGTTGCTGGTGTTTGGAAAGGTGGAACCACAGATGCTTTGAAATTATATGTTTGACTCGATCTGCACATGTCAAATAGTTTGAGTGATTATATAGATGTTGCGGATGTTTGTTATATACGTTATATTCTCACGAGCCGCACTTATATATGTTCGTTTCCAAGTCGTAACATGCATTACATTTGCTTCTTTGCATTTTAGAACGAAGTAGGAGGTAGCAAACATTTTCCCTTTTCACCACTCTGCTCGGACCGTTTCCTCTTCAAAGGGCGGAACGGTGCTGGCCCAAGGCTCTCCTCATTTGCCCTTGGGGTTCCCTGGGAGCCTTTGCTCTCGACACATCCTCCAGCGACGCCTTTTTCCAAGCGGCGGAAAAGGTGGAAGCAGTCGACTCCCTGGGAGCAGGTGGGTTGCCAGGGAGTTGGGAGCTTCCGGCCCCCCCAAAAAAAGGCGGCGGTTGCGGTTTATATTGCTTGGGGGCAAGTTAGTTCCATCAATGTGCCATTTCGACTCACGATGGTGCACATGATTGGGTCTTGCAGCCGTCCCTATGTTGATATCTTTAAGGTCATTTGATTTGCCACTTGCTGGCGGGGTGAAAGAGAGGTTCTCAAACTTTCTGAAGTTTCTTCTTTCCGGTATCTATCTAGTGATTACACAGGCGTATAGATTTTAATTCCCCCTTTCAAAAACAATCCAATCTGATCCTGGCAAGAAGCTATGACGGTGACCCAGCCACTTTTTGGTTACCCGCACGTTCTCCAGTCCTGTGCGTTTGCACATGCCACGGAGTTCACCAGATCCCAGGTGATACCTTCATTGCTGCCAGCATTTTTGCATTGGCTTTCGGTGCCGGTATCTTGACGCTTCTGGCAACACCCTGGGTCAGAGTGCCAGTTTTTTTCTCGCGGGTATTTTTCCAGATGTTTATAAGCAAGCTCAAGCAGGTGATGTAACTAATTACATGTTTTTCTAGCATGCCCACACTTACATGTACATTCACCTAGCTGTAGACATTTAAGTATGCCGCTTAATTGCCTACAAGTATATTTGCACCTCAGCCAATGAATTTACATGATTTTGTAAATACATTCTAAACTCGTTCGGTGAAAACATCAAAAAATGGGAACGTACACAAATGTATGAAAGAGCAACAAAAACGCACGCGCATTGATATATGATATATACATAATTATGTAGACATGTATTTGTGATTTTTTAATAGCACATACATTGGCAATTTTATTTAGAATATATGTTTACGCTTGAATACATACGTGCAGGCACACAAAAAACACACAGGCAAGGGAATAATGAATATGCTGTCCGCCATATACCAAATATATTTATATATTATTTATTTAAAATTATATATACATATATTATAAAATTATTTATAATAGTTAACACACTCACACTTTACGTCATGTATATAAATATTCACATATATATATATATGTGTATATATACATATATTTACACACATATATATATACATATTTGCATTTTTTGGGTGTGTATCAATTTGCGAAGCAACTTCATCGCATAGCTTTCAGCCAATGCATCAACAATGTGAAAATATTTCCCGGTATACTTGATATATGATGTTAAACATGTACATGTACATATACTACAATACTTTAAAAAAATGTATGTTGGAACATGTTGAAACCTTTCCTGCTCTCAGTCCCACTGTGTTACCTCCAGGTCCCCAGGATGCCCTGCGCTGCGCCTGCACGGTGGCTGGCCGCAAGGTGGCGCAACGCGGCCTGGAAAACTTGGCGCAGCTGTTGCCTGAGATGCCGTGGCCGCACAATGGCGGAGATGCTCCATGAGATGACTGGTATTGTGTTAATGAACAGTATGTAAATCCATCTCTATGACCAAAGCCAAAAGGTAGATTAGATAGATGGATAGACAGACAGACAGATAGATAGATAGCTAGATAGACAGCTATCACATATACATTTATATTTATTTATAGAGTTATATCAACATTGTTTGATCATCGTACTGCAGATATTTGTGGTGATTGTTGGTAGATTTAATTTTAAACTGCTAGGTTCGCAAGAAACCATCCTTAGATACAACATGTGCGATGGTGGAATGACGTTTTGGCGATTGCTGGTGGGAGTGTTTGAGCCCTGAGCCAGATAGAGTCACCTGTCACCCCCACAGCGAGATGCAGCTAGATCCTTGTAGGTCTGATCCAACGCCTTGCTCCTCCAGTTTGGGGGGCTCTTTGATGGCAAATCAACAGAAAGGGTCCAAGGGCATCAAAGCATGCTCCGTGGCCCAGTGGTTTGATAAATTCGATTATGTTCCCGCCAGCTTGGAAGGGGCAGAAAATCTTCAAGCGAAAAACATGCAGACACATCTCATGAGACACGAGAAAGCGTCAGCAAACCGCCCCGCACCCATAAGTCCCTTGGTTTTGGTCCTTTACGGCAGTTCCACATGACTGTTGAAAATCAATAGTATGACCTGCGACAGGAAGCGCTTCCTGGTTCCATGATGGCTGTTCGCTACAGCGACTTTTCTGGCGGTGCGGCGGCAGGCAGCTGGGGTGTTGGGGTTGGGATGGTTTGGTCTTATACACGCCCCATGGGTATGACCTGCCAGGGGCTCCAAAATGACGACCAGAAGCTGGCGATTCAAACCCAGTTTTTGTAGCCATTACATTTAGAGAGGGCTAACACACAGACATCCTCACATGAAAGGGTTCATGGGTCGCAGCTAGCAAATTTTCACACATTCAACGCACCTTTCAGGTGAGTTCAATGGGGATTATTTCCCTACCTGACCACGCAGAAGAACATGTTTTGCCTCAAATTTAGGATAGCAAGTCTTGCAATATTGGTTTGACAGAACTTACCGGATTCTCGATACCATGGCGCTTGCATTCACAATGCAGGGTGTGGTGTCACTTTTCCAGATGCGAACCGACTTCATCAACCAAGGGTCATTTGAAACATTTTGGAACCTGTGCAGACAGGTTGGGGGCCCGTTCCACCAGATGAGATGACCTGCGACGAAAAAAGGGGCACTGCTACAGTTTGCCAGCTGCCTGGGAGATTGAAGATGCACCCCTCCCAAAAATATTATATATACAGTAAATTAAATTAAGTGTTTTTTGGGGGGGGCTGCTTGGGCATAGTCCAATCCATGATGCGGGTGAATTCCCTGCACAATTGAGGTTGGTTACATCTACAACAGCTATATCCTGGTCCTAGACATCATTCAGCCCAAAAAGGAGTTGTTCCCAAAATAACAATCCCAGATTTCTTTCTCGTTGTTTTTACGTTGTGGAGCGCCAAGTGTTAGTGAATCAACTCCTCATTCTTCGCTGGCGGTCACTGGAAGGGTCCCTGCGTTGCGCCACGCAGGGGTTGCAACCTGGACACCGCCTGCCGCGCGGAAGCTCCCAGGGATTGTGAGGTTGGTGCGTGGAGGCGTGGACCAACGCCAGTCCTTTTCCCTGAGATTTTACATGTCTAGTGGGGAAATCATTTATAAATGGTGATTTAAAGGGAATATAATGGGATACCAGGTCTTTAATGGATTTTTTCCCCACTGGTCAAGATCCACAATAATGCCAGAGTTGGACCATATCTGGTTGTTAGAGGCATGCGGCTGATACGGCGCCCTTGGAAGGGTTGCCAATTTTGAGATGTGCCATTTACGATCCCTTGGAAGGGTTGCATATTTCAACAATGAGGCTTGCGCAAATGGGGGACAATGGGGGTATAGGATTTGATTTTTTTGAGTTTTTAACATGTTGCACATGCTGTCGTATGATCATCAAGGGGGGTGGGGGGTGATTAACGTTCTTGGCGAGCACTTCCTTTACGTTACGGAAGATGCACACGTTGCACATGCTGTCGTATGATCATCATGGGGGGTGGGGGTGTATTAACGCTCTTGACGAGCACTTCCTTTACGTTACGGAAGATGCGCACGTTGCACATGCTGTCGTATGATCATCAGGGGCGTAAATCATGTTCGAAACTACCAGAATATCTTTACTAAGACTTATCATTTTCGAGGTCGTTTGTGGGGTAAATCCTATAGAATCATTGTCGCTGGTACTCAACAAATGGATGGAACATGGAAACACTTGAAAAAATGGCGACCTCCGTCGATGCCCCACAAAAAAAAAAACAAAAGGTGTACCAAAAAAGTACACTTGGGCCTACAGCTGGACATGGCGTCACAACGCTGCCTTGTTGCAGACTGTGGCATCTGCGTTGCCACAAGCGCTCTGGCACCGCTAGCGTCGAGAAGAGGAAAAAACTGGAAGAGTGAATGCCGCCCTGATATGATTCGGATGGTTGAAAATCATAGATTTCCAATGTTTTTTTTTGGACCCTTGAAGAGCAAAATCAAGTCACCGCGCAGGCGAAACGCAAATTTTCACTCTTGAGTCACACGCCTGCCAATCGAAATGAATGTCCATGTTGCAACATTTTTTGACGACTCCTGCAAATACCAACATTTTTTTCTTACCCTCAAAAATCAGAATTTCAAATTCATCACCCTTACAAGGGCGCCGAGTCAACCGGTTGCCTTGTTAGACCCAATTTTTAGACCCAATAAAACGGTGGCTATGAGATTCAAATTTCATCCAGTTTGTAGGTTTATACCATTTTATACCCAATTTCACAAACTTGACAATGGTGACTAATTGATGGTGATCATCACTGCGAATGTTTTCATATATTAGTTTACCCTCAATTTGGTGTCGAATGTGTTCGGCTTGCGCAGGGACTGGTCCACTTGCTCTCAACTATGCGATGGTGGGCAATGCTCACGTCGCTTGTGCTGCGGTGGTTTCAAACAAAATACCCATGAATTACCAATATTCGAATACAGTACTGATGGGAAAAATATGTTGAAACATATAGGTTAGAGAGAAAGCATTGGCCCGTTCTATGGCCAGTGGAGATTCCAAGGGTGATCTTCTCGTGTGGAGCATGGCTTTTGCGACAAGGCGTCGCGGTCGCGAGATTTGCAGGGAATGGCGTGTAGGCAGATCCACATCTGACTACCACCATCTACCCCTCCACCCAACGTCATATGAAGTCAATCAAACACTTTTTTCCAGTCGATTCTTGTCTGAGGCTGTGGCTGGACATTCTTCGACATTTCCACATACTCCCACCCCTGTTTGTAAAGATAAAACTATATCAGAATTATACAAACATAATCAAACATATCCAAACGTGATGTATACCTGGTATACAAAAAGGCAAAATGTAGCTGGTATAAAGGATGATCATGTATGAGACAATCCTTTTAAATTGCATTTAGATTTTGGATCCATTCTTTTGGGGTCCGACCCATGTCTGGGACCCAGATGATCGGGGGAACATCCAATCCAGCAGCCACGTCAGTTTGACGGTATCAAAGATAAACATGGAATTGGGTTCAATAATCCGATGGGGATATGGATATTAATAGTGTTGATGGTTCATCATTTTTGAACCTCAGCATGTATATATATAATCATAGGTTCATCGTTTTATGTCTTTTTTGGGGGGATGAGCCTCGTTTTGCATGTGTGTACACATCTTCTATCATATTCTTCCGGAATTTTCAGGGTGTTCAGCTGCCACCAACCAGTGGGGAACCACATGGCAGGTGCATCCGGCCAACTTGGACCGTCCCTGCATGCCATGGATCTCTGGACCAGACGGAGCCATGTCGGGGCGACCCGGGGCCCAGAAATTGGAAATGGTGACAGGATGGTTACTATTAACCCCCAAACAGATTGAAAAGGTTCAAGTTACACCTTTTATGATTTTGCATTTTCTGATTATTTCTGATTATAATATGTTGTGATATCTTTTTTGGATAGAATTAGGGGTGCTGTCGGCTGTAACCCGGCTTCGGCTTGGTGCAGGCAACACACAGCTCGGCGTGGGCCAAAGACGCTACGACTGTCTGTGGAGGCGCTCGTGGGCTGTGTGATGAGGTTTTGTTTTTATCAGGCCCAATTATGCAGATCCATGCAGTACCAGGATCATGATGTTTTGATTGTTTCTTTTAGGAAACCAACCACTGGCTGGCACCTCCCCAGAATTCCACTAGCCGCCACGCAGGGGAGGCATGCACTCAGCCAGAGCCCTCAGCAGGCGGCTCGCTTCAAAGC